TCCAGCTCCGCGTCCTCCCGGCTCGGCCGCAGCGCCGATTCCAGCGGTGACGGCCCCCAGTCCCCCAGGACGCGATTCCCGGCCAGGATCCGCAGCTGGACGTCGGCCGTGGCTCCCGGGGGAAGGGAGCAGAGGATCCGCAGCTCCGAGCCCGCCGTCGGTCGCTCGGTGGAAACGTTCAGCTCCGGCACGGGGACGTCTGCGGGGACAGCGGGGTGGGCTCGGGGTTCTTCTCGTCCTGATTTTTCCTGATTTTTCCTGATTTTTCCATCTTTTTCCCGATTTTTCCTGCTTTTTCCAGATTTTTCCTGATTTTTCCTGCTTTTTCCTAATTTTTCCTGATTTTTCCCGATTTTTCCTGATTTTTTCCTGATTTTTTCCTGATTTTTCCTGATTTTTCCTGATTTTTCCTGATTTTTTCTGATTTTTCCTGATTTTTTCTGATTTTTCCTGATTTTTCCTGCTTTTTCCTGCTTTTTCCTGATTTTTTCCTGATTTTTCCTGCTTTTTTCCCGATTTTTCCTGCTTTTTTCCTGCTTTTTCCTGATTTTTCCTGATTTTTCTTAATTTTTCCTGCTTTTCCCTAATTTTTCCTAATTTTTCCTAATTTTTCCTAATTTTTCCTGCTTTTTCCTAATTTTCCCTATTTTTTCCTGCTTTTTCCTGCTTTTTCCTAATTATTCCTGCTTTCCCCTGATTTTTCCTGATTTTTCCTAATTTTTCCTGATTTTTCCTAATTTTTCTTGATTTTCCCTGGTTCTCTATCCCACCTTTTCCTCATCCTTATCCCAAGTTTTGGTGACACCAGGCATTGGTGACACCAGGACTGGTGACACCCATTTGGTGACACCGGGATTTGATGACACCACGATTTGGTGACACCAGGATTTGATGACACCAGGATTGGTGACACCCCGATTTGGTGACACCAGGGATTGATGACACCAGGCATTGGTGACACCCCGATTTGGTGACACCAGGCATTGGTGACACCAGGATTGGTGACACCACGATTTGGTGACACCACGATTTGGCACCACCAGGATTGGTGACACCAGGACTGGTGACACTGGGATTTGGTGACACCACGATTTGGTGACATCACGATTTGGTGACACCAGGGATTGGTGACACCCCAATTTGATGACACCCCAACTTGATGACACCCCGATTTGGTGACACCAGGCATTGGTGACACCAGGGATTGGTGACACCCCAACTTGGTGACACCGGGATTTGGTGACACCAGGAATTGATGACACCAGGACTGGTGACACCACGATTTGATTACACCCCAATTTGATGACACCCCGATTTGATGACACCCCAACTTGATGACACCCCGATTTGGTGACACCAGGCACTGGTGACACCGGGATTTGATGACACCAGGCATTGATGACACCCCAACTTGATGACACCCCGATTTGGTGACACCAGGCATTGGTGACACCAGGATTGGTGACACCACGATTTGGTGACATCACGATTTGGTGACACCAGGGATTGGTGACACCCCAATTTGATGACACCCCAACTTGATGACACCCCGATTTGGTGACACCAGGCATTGGTGACACCAGGCATTGGTGACACCGGGATTGGTGACACCAGGGATTGGTGACACCAGGACTGGTGACACCAGGATTGGTGACACCAAGATTTGATGACACCAGGAATTGATGACACAGGGATTGGTGACACCAGAGATTGATGACACCGGGATTTGATGACACCCCAACTTGGTGACACCAGGGATTGGTGACACCCCAACTTGGTGACACCGGGATTTGGTGACACCAGGAATTGATGACACCAGGACTGGTGACACCACGATTTGATTACACCCCAATTTGATGACACCCCGATTTGATGACACCCCAACTTGATGACACCCCGATTTGGTGACACCAGGCACTGGTGACACCGGGATTTGATGACACCAGGCATTGATGACACCCCAACTTGATGACACCCCGATTTGGTGACACCAGGCATTGGTGACACCAGGATTGGTGACACCAAGATTTGATGACACCAGGAATTGATGACACAGGGATTGGTGACACCAGAGATTGATGACACCGGGATTTGATGACACCCCAACTTGGTGACACCAGGGATTGGTGACACCCCAACTTGGTGACACCACAATTTGATGACACCACGATTTGTTGACACCCCAATTTGGTGACACTGGGATTTGATGACACCAGGATTGGTGACACCACGATTTGGTGACACCCCAATTTGATGACACCACGATTTGGTGACACCAGGCACTGGTGACACCAGGCATTGATGACACCCCAATTTGATGACACCAGGAATTGATGACACCCCGATTTGGTGACACCAGGAATTGATGACACCCCGATTTGGTGACACCAGGCACTGGTGACACCGGCATTTGTCCCCACCCCCGTCACTCACAGTAGATCCCCACGTTCTTGCCCGTCCGTCTCTCCACGCCGCCCACGCTGACCGCGCACCACAGCCGGACGCTGCCCGTGCGGTTGACGGTGACCACGGCCGTGGCCCGG